ATGAAATGAATTCGTGGCGTATTCATAGAATAATTATTGGTAAAAATCAATTAGATTAACAACTTCAGACTTAATTTAGAGTCTCCGTAAATTAAAGGGATTTGTTTTTTTTTATTAAAAACCTTGGTGATATAACAGAAAATAGTTTACTTCAGAAATTATTTAAGTTTAAAATTAAATCGATATTTTTACTTTCATGATAAATTTCATGCACTTGACTCTAGGCTAGGCGATTCCAAACTACGTCTTTACTTTAAGCTTATTATACCAATACTCACTACACTTATAAGGTTCACGTCACACACACACACACACACACACGCCCTCCTCACGGCCTCTTCCACTCTCATCACTAAAATCGTAATGGACAGACAGTAATCGAACTATTTTTTCTGGATAAATGCATTTTGGCTTTTATGACTCTTCCTATTTCAAGAAATCAAATGTGGCGTGACGTGACACACACTGTCTTTTATATAGATTATATAGGTGAGAATCTAGGATTATACTTGTCTCTGTTCAAACAGAACTTGTCGAACAATAAGTAAACCACGTCTCTTTGCTAAATGCACTGATCTTAAGTTTGTTAGGTGGTTTTTAACGTTTATATCTTTCCTTTCTGAGAACATTTTCAGTGAACATTCCGAATATTGTTCATTGTGGTTCATATTATGTCCATTCAACTGACCTGCATTATGTCCCAAACTTTGATAACGTTCTCGAGCTAGGGGTCAGATTTCCTGGGCGCCCTAGTACCCTCCAGAGGCATGTGTCTCGTGCTACTGGTGTTTGCTTCCGGGTTGTACCATGCTTGTCGTTACGCACGCGGTCAGCGCTGGTAGGAGTGAGACAGGTGTGACTAGCAAACACTACGATTATTCGGCAAAATCCTACTCTAGTGAGGCAGGTATAAAAATACTGCTTTGCTATCTTCAACGTTCTTACGAGAAAATAGATAGTTGGAAAACAACGAATCAAACATTAGGAATAAATAATACAAAAATATATTGAATTTACAATTAACTTAATGGGAGTTGTTATTTTTATCAGATTAATTGTTCGACTTGTACTAATACTAATATTAGAAATTCGCACATAATTTCACCGTTAGATTTCTCGTTATCGAGAGGATTCAGTTATTTCACCGAGATCAGCCTAGACCAAGTCTCTTCTATTATGCCATTTTCAGTAAAGACTTTGATTTGATTTCAGTTCGAACCTTTTGGAGTCTTCACAGAATTTTATTTTTGTGGACTCTGTAACTCAGTATTTAAGTTGGTTTCGTTGTGTTAATAATCTTTAATGTCGATTAACATTTTGGGGTACAACTCTTGGTAAAATACCATTTCACTTGAAATAAGTTGGAAATTTGTTTTTGTCTCTTTCTAGATGTTGAGATCACATTAGCAGTAAATGCTCGTAATTCATTAACTTGAAATTAAGGTAAATATGGAGCACAGTATGAAGAGGGAAAAGTTTTATTGTTATCTGGTTTTATACAAATACGTCAATTCAAAATAGCACGAATCAGATCTTTACCATTTAATGAATGGTTCTAACCAACTCCAATTTATCAATAGCAGTCACGTTGAAAATGAATAATGTTTCCAGGAATACCTAGCTAATTCCATGTGGTACCAAAAGTAGTTACATTGTTTATTTTTTTTAACTGGATGTATTGTGGTTGGTTATTTCAGCTGTACCGTATCATAAGCTTGTCTTCACTTGGTTGAAGTTACCTGTTAGCTCGAATATCCACAGTAACAATGTCATTTCCACAATTAGTAAATAAATGTACACTTTTAACCATCATTATATATCGTATTGGAAAAATAATACCGCGTAATTTTTCATGTTTCTTAAGTTCACTTAGTGTAAAACGATGTGTTTTAATTGTTTTTTCTTTATGATGTATATAAAGATGTGTTCCTATTGATTATTTGTTTAGATACAAATGGGTGATGCTTATTCTGTACTTCATCATTATGTATACAAGAATGTATTGTTGTTGGGAACTTACCAATATAATAAATGTTAAATTAATACAAGAAACTAGCTTCTCCAGTTTTTACACTATTAATGCCTAAGTAAACTTCGGGGGTGCTTTCTCAACAACAACAATTTTATAATGTTTTTATTCCGAAAATTCTTTTGGAAATTGAAATTTTAAATAAGAAATACACTTGTAGACATATCGCCATGAAAAATATGATTTTATTTAAAATCGTAACTAGTTCAGACTCCTATTTACACCAGAAAACAATCACATTCCTGAGATACAGTGTCATCATGAAAGGAAGCCAGTACTCTGGAAACTTTAAAACTTATCACTATCACTTGCTAGAGGTCTCGCGCATGTTATACAACATGAATTTCACTTTTTGCTACAATATAAATGTATAATAATATGTTAAGTTACTACACTATATAAACATATTTATATATTTCACTAATCATAAGAACTAAAAGATATTACAGCAAAATTACGCTTATCCGAATAAATATAACGCATCTTTTGATTCGCAGTTAAACTAGCTAACTATTTATCAAGCGCAATGGGATATCTGTGCAAGAACCAAGACCCGAATTTAACGTGGTTGAAGCTCCATTTTTGATACACTATTCGTAAGTATTCAAGAGTCTAAAATACAAATAATGTCGGACTACCAAGCTGATTTCACAACTTTCTGTTGGTGTGCAGACTGGGGAAAAAGAAAACAATAAACTAAATAGAATGATATGAAACGAGCAAACTCGAGTTGTTGATATTGTCATTTACGTATCTCCACAACACTACTGTTCCTTTCGGTTCAATTACATCACACAACTTTTAAATTCCGAGTCTCAATTCTCCAGAACATTCCACATCCTGACTGACCCGCCCTTCCACCCCCCACACTCAATAAACCTATAGATTCTGAGTACTCTAACAGTATTGAGTGTTTTATGTATTTCCACGCCCCCCCCCCCTCCGCTACTTTCCCGTGGCTCCCAATTTGGGATCTTCGCCATTACAAGTTTCTTCATACAGATGGTGTATTAGCTTTTACCAAATCTCGTAAAACACAGTTAACAAAGTAATAGTTCTTTTGATTTTACAAGATGGCGATACGGTATAACTAATGTCAAGTACGTTGCTTTAATATATATATACCTGCTACAAAAGCAATAATATAAGAGTATATCACCTAAGTGGGCTAAGAATATAATGCACTTCGAACTATAAAATTCTTATTGTTTTGTTAGAGTAGTAAAATGAGAGAAGTATTTTACCCGTTGTTCCCATCTCTTCATCTCTTACCCAGGCATGGGTTTCTTAGCTAATTTACAAGTTAAATGTTCATGCAATTAAAATGGATAAGTATACGACAGTACTCTACATTAAAACAAACGTCGTTTAATTAAAAAGTTCGTTACCCGCAAAATAAATAAATAAAATATATAAATTAAGTTACAATGAAACATATAATGAGTAATGAAAAGACAAGAAGAAAGTTTTTCGGACTAGTTGAATCAGAAAATCTGTCAAACCTATCCGTATCAGTCTCCTCGCTATGGACTAAAACGTTTATTCTGTTTATTTTGAAAAATAAATAAATAAAATTTTAATGTTCATTTTAATGACCCATTGGTACAACTCTTACAAACTCAGGATTATCATAAGGTATCACCTTTTCTTTAGGAGGTCCCTTAACCGATGTTAATTGTCGTACTCTGAAAAACAGAAAAACTGCCACCAGGGAAGATACAATAAGTAACAACAACAGAAATATCATCCCAACAGCAAAACCTGGGAAAGACATACATATAGAACTGCTCGTATAATCATCTTGGTGAGAGTAAACGTCCACCACACTTTCATTGTCGGCAGTGAAGGGGAGGTTAAAAGCGACATCACCAGGGGCTACAACTTGAATAGTACGTTGGGTTTGGATGTCTTTAGTGTCCTGTATCTGTCGTTTCCGTCTGGATCCAGCATTATTAGACCTTGGGGAAGCGTCACTAGATCGTGGCAAACCCCCAGTTGCAAAAATAGCGTAGCCACCCCCCACAGTTATGTTATTTTCTTCATTAGGCAATTCGCCGTTTCGATTTAAAAACACTGAAGGTGCTCCATTGGAATGTTCTTGTGGACCAGGATTACTTGGAAGATGTTGGTTAGACTGACCTTCGTTTTCAGTATAGGTGGGTTTGGGCTCAGAATATCCAAAAGAAGGGTCACGTGGTGCTGGAAGATAGCCTCCGCCAAGTTCTCCTCCACACTTTGGAACTGGACATTCATATCTACACACTTGGATCACGCACTGGAAGTGTACATTCATGGAATCTGGAAATTTAAATGCTTGAAAATAGGCATACGATGCAACTGAAGCAGACGTTCCGAAATTCTTTATTTTTTGGAACCCACTCATAATCTTTGGTCTTACCACACATCCATATTCATCAACCAATTGAATAGGCTGACTCTTGCCATCATGGGCAATACAGTTTCTCACAAACATGTCAAACTTGTGTTCTTCATCTTTAATGGCAAGAACCATGGTCATGGTCTGGCCAATCTTAACTATTCCAGATATTTCATTAGCCCAAGGCCCTTTGCCGACTTGAATTTGCATCCAACATTGAATATTGTCTCCTAAAAAGTTGGCAGTCACAGCATCAAGCATGTCTACGTTGAATGGTCTGAAAGTTACAGCCTTTTCATAAAAGTCATACCAAGTACAACGGAGTCTGCGGGCCTGGTCCCAAATTTCTTGGAGTTGAGGATCGTACTGTATGATTATAGTGTTTTCAATGAAGAGCCCATCACCATAACCACCCTGTCCACCTCCATAACCTCCCACACCATTCTGTTGCTGACTACTGGACATGCCACATTTTCCAAGGAAGATTTGAAAGTTAACAAGGGCATGGCCAGTTCCTGGTGGTAAGTGGACACAATTGTGGTCACTATAGTGACCTTTACTAAAGATCATGCCAAAAAAGGGACGGTCGAATTCCATGCTTACTTTCATGTGGTTTTTCTCACATTTAACGTTCAAGTTTTTAATCTGTGGCATATCTGGTCTCCCAGTGGGCCAATAATCATGTGAGTCTCCGACCCCAGGAACCGAGCTCAATCCTGGTCCAACGTAAGAACCGCTTCCAACTACAGGCCCTTCGCCGCCAGGGTAAGCTCTGTGCTCCGCTGGAAGACGCACAGATTCTTCCTGCTGAAGGTCTTGCTTGCTATCTATTTCCTTCGTCAAAACCTAAAGAAAGAAAAAATATTTGTGTTTATTTTCCAGTAGCTTAGAATGCCTAGTGTATATTAAACGCGAGTATTTTGCGTTATTTGGTTTCTAAAGTGCCGCCATTTAAACATAAATTATGAACACATGAAATAATTACACTATATATTAGCATTTGATTACTTAGTTTAAAACAAAGAAATTGTCTGCAACAACAACAAAAATCGATGAATACTTTATTGTTATTAAATTCTGTGTTTTAAAATCCTTTGATTATATCTTTCAAGTTTATTAAACGTCTTTTAGATAACGTTAACATTGGTTTTATAAATAATGGCTTAAAATAAGAAATGCCTCTTTTAAACCAACGAAAGCGAAAAGCTACATAATGGGCTATTTCTACTGTGCCCAACGCGGGTATCAAACTCAGGGTTTGAGCGTTATACGCCCTCAAACTTGCCGCTGAGCCATCGGGGAGTGGATTAACATAGCAACAAAATAATGGGGAAAGATATTATGATAATGATTTATAGAAGACACTGCACCAAATATATAATCATGCACTCATGATTGGTAAGGCTGCAAACTTATAACATTAAAAATCGAGTTTCGATACGCTCGGTAGGCAGAGCAAAGATAGTTTATTGTGTAGCTTTGAACTTAACAACAAACTGCAAAATAAAAATGTAAAACTTTATACAATCATTCTGTGTTTTTCCTTCTAAATATTATATGCTAACGATAAGCAAATATGTCATTTTATACTAAAATAAAATATAAGTCTAAACACTGCGAATCTGCTTAACTTCCTTTGTTCGTTTACTTGTCTTCAAGATTTTCCTTTTGTTTGCTAATGTTGTTTATATTTACAGATCAGATAAATTTTTCCTGGTCATTAACTAACATCAAATAGAATTAACAGTTAAATACAAAAGTTAACAGTTAAATACAAATAGAATAATGGATAGAATAAGCAAATCCTCAAAATGTTATTTTTAGAAATATTTTTGTCCCCCAGTGGGCCAACGGTAAGTGTACGTACTTACAACGCTAAAATCCGGGGTTCTATTCCCAGCCTTGGACAGAGTGTAGATAACCTATCTTGTAGCTTTGCATTAAAACATAGAAATAAAAGATTTTCTTGATAACGAAACTATTAGTTTTTGTGACGCACAAAACTATCAAGAAATAATGTCATTTTTAAAAATATCAAATCAAACAAATACTGTCAAACCAAAAAATCCGAACGTACAATCTCACGAAAATTATATGAAGTATTTGACGTTTATGATAGTGAAACAATTACCATAGATCATCAATAGCTTTGATAGAGTTTTAGTTTTAAAATACGCTCTTAACGTTTTTTTTGTTTGTTTGTTTTGCAACGAACAGCGTCTATTTCCATGATGCCATGAGAGCTGGACCCGACATGGCCAGGTGGTTAGGGCGTTCGACTCGCAATCTGCGGGTCGCGGGTTCGAATCCCCGTCACACCAAATATACTCGTCCTTTCAGCCGTTGGGGCGTTATAATGTG